TCTGGCAGGGAGGGACGTACCAGCTGTCTGCAAGTCAAAAGGTGCTGCTCAAGTAAACACAACAAATACTCCAAGAAAACTCAGTGTCTCCACTAAACTACTAGAAAAGAGGAGCCAAGGAAATCCAGGCAGATTAATAGAAACCAGCTGATCAGAATTACTGGCGGTTGCAGTGCTTTTCTTTTAAGAGAGTTCTTAATCTTTCCTGACCTAGAGTACTAATGGTCTACTACAAACTGATTAGGGGAAATACAAACACTTGAGCCTCACATTGATGAAGCAATAAAGCCAGGAGACACTGCTCTTAAAGCAGCAAAGAAAACGGTGTTTAATAAAAACCCCAAAATTTCTACTCATCTCTGGACAGTCCCCGCACAGCGAGTTGAGAGCAGATCGTGAGCAGTGCTTGCCACCTGTCCAAACCCAGTGAAAACGTTGGGGACTTAATTAATGATTTTAGTTCTTTAAGTTAAAGTACTAATATCAAGCCCAGATAACAACTCACATGCAATTTCCATTGTGTACATGTATTTATGATGTGGTTATACAGTTTCTGTACACACAATTAATAATGAAGCTTGTGATTCAAATGCTCCACAGCAGCACACTTTCTGTAAAGGCACATGTAAAATAACATTTTCACTTATTCTGTGAACCAGTTATATTATCTACCTGTAACCACTCATTTACACACTATATTCATGGAACGGTGCTAACTTAAAATAAATATATGCACATCATATATGCATGTATTATACATATGTATTTATGTGTATAGACAGCATATATGCATGGACACATACACAGATACATATATCCATGAAAATAAATTTTATAGGAAAGCCAATAAAAAATAAGGTTTCCTACAACTTTGTTATAAGTCTTTTTTTAGCCCTCATGACTTCTTGAGCGTAGGAAAGCTTTATTCTGTGGTTGTAGGATTTCCTACCATCGTACTTTCCTCTCTCAGTATCACCTCCCCTCACTGAAAAGATTTTCTACTAGGCTGGCATCTGTGTTTACATGTACAAATTTTGTATGTACATATTCATCTGTGTCTCATAGCTACGAAAAAGAGTACTTGAAAGAAATTCCTTGGAAGTTTGAAGATTTCCATTTTCACTTTTTTCCTTTGTTTGGAGCCTGTGGTTCTTTGGATAGTTTGCTCACTTTATTTTAATGCGTTTCATGAAATACTTCTCCAGGCTATTAACTCCAGAACCATTCCAGACAGGAAAAATTCTGTTTATCTTGTCATTTTTTATTTGTGAAATATCATCCACTACTTCTAATGTAAGAGATACTGCCCGAGATGTTGCCAGAACCTGAGCTCTCTTGCAGAGAGCAATATGACCAGCATGTTTGACTCAGTACTCCTACAAGACACGAGCCACCTCCCTGACCTGTGCTGCTGCTGGGAACCTGTGCAGTTCTGCTTATCCCCCCATGGAATAAATCTGCAATGGTGATTATTCTGTGCTCGAGCCACCTGTCCTAATGAATAACGCTTCCTGTGTAGCTGTTTCCAGATATTGGAGTTAGTTACTCAAGCTTGAAAGACAAGTAGAGAAATTAATAACTGGTGCACATGTTCCTTAAATGGCACAGGGGCAAAATATGGAAAGAGGAATTATTGCCGTAGCTTTCCAACAGTATTGAAAAAGGATTTGTGAGTATCAGAAGACCTGCATCAGCCTGAACCTGACCAGACAGACAGGTGAGCAGTACCATGACTGTATTTTGGCTTAAATTTGGGTAATTGAATGCAGATTATAATTTTACTTCAAATTTCTGAAAAAGAGAAAGACAGAGACTTAAAAACCGATCAGTGCAGGATTACACTTGTTATGTAGTAGCTAAAGGAAACTGAACCAAGAGCCCCCTGACCTGATTTAATACAGCACTAGCACCACATTATCTCAGATTATTGTTGTTTTTAAAACCACAAATTTTTCAGTAGTTGGGTTTGCATATTACTTAGCTTTTTGAGTTAGTACTATTTATAAAAGAACACTGGTGAATATACACTAAATGCCTTTGCCAGTCCTTTCCATCAACAGATTCTTCGGAGCCAAGCAAACTGATAGTTTGTGAGCTTTTGCTACTTTTTTGCCAAACAGCGCTGGATTGACTGGTTAAATTCTGTAACACAAATACACACATAATAACAAACAATGTCAGAGAAACACACATTTCAACAGCCCCTGGAAACTTCAGAATATGCTTTTCCTGTGTTTGAAGTTGAAACAAGTAAGCAACACTGTTGTCTTCTTAATTTGTTGATTTTGGTTTTTCTCCAGACCTGTAAAGACCAATTCAGTGACATGCAGAAAAAAGAATGCATTTGTTCAGCACTTTACCCAGCAAACTTCATGTTATATACAAAGATGAATCTTTTTGTTAACGCTATAGTATATTGAAGATACTTCCCTATTGTACTTACTTGCTGTGTCACAAAAAGTTATCTGCATGGAGATTTAATAACACCATTAAATGAAATTCAAATGGACATTAAGCATACACATAAAGTACTCTTATATCCAGTATGTTTAGATTTTTTAATTCAAACTGACTGATTGCTGATGAAATTGAGTTAGCTAGTAGGTTTGTAGGAGTAATATCAGTCACTCTGCAAATTATTCCATCAAAGAAAAAGACAGAAGTATGGAAAAGACCAGAAAAAAACGTCAAATGTGCCCCACTATTCCAATACATCAAAACTGTTGTTTTAGAGGTGATGGGACAAGAGCTTGTCTGGTGTACATTTCTAAGCAAGACTCAACTGCCATTTCATTTGCACAGCGCTCTCTCTGTTAATGCTTCTCCTAACCACCAGAGCTGGCTTCACCATGTTCTCTCTCCAGCTCAAGTACTTTTGGAAACAAAAAGCATCTGCTTTCTAGTTTTGCTAGCTGGCTAGTTTTCTACTTCTAGTTTGGACACATACAGTAGGATAAAACTGTATGTTTCTTTTCAACACTGCTTATAACAATACATCCTCTCTTTAAGCGTTTCCATTTTCAGCATTTCTTATAACCAGAGACCAATACCTGTAATCTAATGAGCACCTATAGCACCTTCTTTTTATAAAAATGTGATGGCATTGACACAAAAACTACTGATCCACTATGATTTAGGAAACACTGCTGCACCCAGTGACACCACTTCCCAGATTTGTTCTTCCACTACTTACTATGAAAGTTCAAAATAATATCAAAAGCCACTTGATTGCAGCTCTCCCTGTGCAGATCTGTGCCAAACTTACATTCCCGCAGGTATTGCTACAGAAAAAAATTAAAAAGCTACTCACTGCATACAACTGATTTTCTGTTATAATTTCCTGCAGACCCATTCAAATCAATGAAGCTTCTCCAATTTACATGGCTGAGAATTAAGCACAATCCTTTCATAAACCGAGCACCCCCTGTCAGAGCAGGGCAAGCTAACAGCCACTGCTTTTGAATCTTATACAGCTGTTTTCTGTACTGCCACAAAACTCCAAACATTAACACTGCTATACAATTTCTGTTTATTTCTTTGTTATTATTGTCTTGGGCCTTGGAAAGAGATTTTCTAAAGGCCCTGTTGCGAAGGACATATCACATGAAGAGTAATGATTATGCTTCTGTAGACTATGAGCAGACTGACTTGCTTTTCTTCTTCCTTTTTTATTCTTTTTTATGTTTTTGATTTGCTGAAAAACTGTTTAAGGGAGCAAAAACAAACACCTCTTCCACCCCACCCCCCAAAATCCCAACTGTGGGAATGTTTGCTTTTTTTGGCAGCACTAATATTTATCCCTTACTTAATAGGAATTCTCCCCTAAGTTAAGAATGTTGCTTTTACAGCTCGAAGATCTAAACATGAAGTATTTTATCAGCATTCTGTTTTTCTCCCCTCTCTATGCAACTTTGGAGCAGTTAGGTAAAAGCAAATATTAAAACAAAAATTACTGTCTTTGAGCGTCTGTGAAAATTTATGTACTAAAAAGCAGCTGTAAAATTTTTAATGTTTAAATGAATGTTTTATGTTTACAATAAAAACTCTCCAGCCATGAAGGGCTTTTAAAAGCTACATGCTAAATACAAGCAAAACCAAAGCAAACAGTAACACTCCTGTGAAGCCCAGCTTCAACATACAAAATGGCAAATAAGACTTTTGTGTAGACTTCATAAGTTTTCATGTCTTGCTCTACAAAAAAAACCCCTAGGAATGTCAAAGCTACAAAAAGAGCTGGTTAGAATAGGAAGGCAAAAACTTGTAATTCCTTAATAATAGGTTTTTCTGCAATTCTGAATGTATTTGTGATGGTCTGGTTTACTCTTTTATTTGAATTGTGTTATAAATAAAACAGCTTCTCTCCTCCCCCATTTCTGCCAGCTGTAAGCACTCTGTCCTCCAATAAAGGTTGAAACAAATGAATAGGTTTAAAAGAGACCATTATGCACTAGCTAGTGCACACTGAGGAGACGAAATGTTGCCAAATCATACTCCTTTTAAAATCAATAGGAATTCTTGTTATTGGATTCAATGGGAGTATAATTAGGTTCTAAACTCACATGCTTTCTTGACAATGTGGGTTTCTTTACCTTTTTCATTCCTATTTCCCTCTCAGATATAGAGAAGTCTTGCTGTTCCAAAGTGCTCTCAGTTTGAACAGCATTTTAGCCATTTCTCCCCTGAAATACTTGTGGCACAGGCTAGAGAATGCAAACTCTTAGCACAAGTAACCTCAATTACCTATACTGAAATTCTGCTATAAGTTAGCACTAGCAAGAGCATATCCCATTCCCCAGCAGACACTTAAAGCCTTGATATCCTACATTCCCTGTCCACCCTCACGCTCCTGGTATCGCTTTCTTAGCGACACGGTCAGAGCAACCCCATGTACTGAATCATCACCACCATCTTTTCCTTTTGCAGCTCAGTTTTGTTTTGCAGGTCTCACTGTAGGGAGGCTGACTAAGCCCAAATATATTTAGGTTGAATCAAATATAAACCCGCCCCACAACTTGAAATGATTTTCAAAACCCCTGTCAAAGTAATTACAAGAAGACGATATAAATAACTTCCCCTTGAAAGGTCTACATAAGGAGCACCAGACATTTACCACATCTGCATGTTGGACGCCAAATCAGCCACTGGGGAGTCTTGAGTCCACCCCCATTCATCTCTCAATGACTTTCTTTTATAAACAGTGTATTGAACAACAACAAATTTATATAAAGCCACACCATCCCCTCAAGCCCAAGCATTAAGTTATCTTTTTCATTATTTTTTTTTCCATACACAGGCTTATGATGGTTCATAAGCCAAATCCTACGCAAATAGTTTTAACTCTTATCCACAGCGCTATCTTCATAAATTAATTTGTCAGCCTTTACTTTGTTCCAAAAGAGGGGATGCAAGAGCACTTTTTTAACTGTTTCTTGGTTAGAGGTAGTTAAAAAAATTACTGGGAAGCATTTAAAATGGTGAATATCCTTTTTCTATTTCTCTCGAAACAGGAAAAAAACACCAAAAATAATCAAAACAATATTTTCCTCATTTTCTGTCATATTTGTTTGCAGTAGAAAATATTTCTCATGTCAACTATGTTTTTAAAGTACACATAACTCAAAAAAATTAAAGACAGTCAGAGAGTATAACCATTAACGTACAAGCTTCAATGTTTATTTGGATAACTGAATCAAAATTTACTACAGGTGGCTTCCTACACTTTAAGTCAGTTGTTGCACTAAGCACAACTGAAGGCAACCTTAGAAAAGGCCAATCCTGCCTGGTTAGTACCTTGCAAGAATAATTGGCAGAGTTGTTTGTAGAAAGCAGGCATAGAGCTTCTAGTTTCAAGTATTTCCAATTCTTGTCAATGCTATAAAAATCAGCAGTTGAATGATTTTGAGGACAGCACTCTC